ACAAATTTACTATTGATGAACTAGTGATTAAAGCACTTTTGAAACATTTTTGTATTAGTGAATTGTTTACTCTTTTAATAAGAGTAGCATTACGGTGAGCAACTAATATGTTTAATGTATTATTTTTTAAAATATCCCTTTTGTGTTCATATAATTTTTTATTTAAACTTCTTGAGGCTTCTCCAATATATTCTTTCTGGCAATCCTTAAGGGATGATAGAGTAAATTCTTCCTTCAAGTTTTGGCTTGTTTTGTTTTGCATAAAGTCTTTTATTGTTTTAGATGTAGTTGTGATAAATTTTATGTTGACTTCAGATAAATTCTTTTCAATTGTAGTTGTGATAGAGTTAGTGGGTAGAAAAAAAATTTTTTTTGAATTGTTGGGTTTGTCAGGAGAGGTGTTTTTTTTCTATTTTTAAATATTTTATGAGCATTGAATATGAAATAGTTAGGATATTAGAAGAGCTTGAAAGTATCTTCAATGTATTTCTCCTCTTCATGTAAATATTGATGGCTGCAAATTTTGAGTGCTCTTAAGTAGAATCTGGTGATTATTCTGGATTTTATTTTGTTGTTATGGTGGGAATAGAAATTTATGAGATGATTTTTATTAGTTGATTTTTGGCAGACACTGTGTTTCAAGCTGCTGTTAACTTGGTATAACATGATATCTAGAAAAACTAAAGTATTGTTTTCTTCCATTTCATATGTAAATTCTATTGTAGATTTGACTTTGTTTAGTTTATCTACAAGATCAGTTGGATCAGTATCATGGGAATATATTAATAGAACATCATGAATGTTATACATTGATACATCCAGTTAAAAAGTAAAAATAAAATCATCCTTGATAATGGCTAAAAGTATATCTGAAAGCACTCAGAATTACAGAACATTTGGACAGTTTCTACACACTCTTTGTCCAGAAAAGAAAACAGTTTTTTAGTTAGATCCAGTGACAGGACCCAAAGTGTGTAGGTCAATACCTGGTTAAGGCAGTGGAGAACTTGGAGAGGGGAATTAACAGGAGATAACTGATAACTGATATCCATTAGACATGGCATGTGGAACTAGAACAGTCTACTTCAGCAAGTGAAATAAAGGGTTCAGTTCGACATTCCGACCAGCTGAAGAAGGCTAGAGCGTATAACGGCTGAAACATTGTGATAAACATGGCAACAAAGATGAGGACGAACAATGTAAATAGTATACTTTTTCGAACACAAGAAAAATTAAACAAAAAGCTTAATCACAGTAGCTTGTTTGTTGTTCTTAATGAAACATGTATGTATATATATATATATATATATATATATATGAAAATCCAGATTTCATGCATTTGTACGCAATCATCAGCAGCCAGTGGCAGTAGTTCACAGAATGGGTACCATATATACCACAAGGCCAGTTCAATATGACAGAGAAACAAAACTTGCCTGGTGAGAGGATAAACCATATATCCATATATATATATATATATATATATATATATATATATATATATATGTGTATATATATATATGTATGAATATATATAAGAATATATATATGTATTCATATATATGTGTATATATATATATATATATATATATATATATAGTATATATATGTATGCATATATATAAGAGTATATATATATATGCATATGTATATATATAGAGTATATATATGTATGCATATATATATATGTGTATATATATATATATATATATATATATATATATATATATATGTATGTATATATATATATATATATATATATAGAGTATATATTTGTATGCATATATATATATATGTATGCATATATATATATATATGTATATATATATATATATATATATATATATATATACACATTATAAATAGACAAAGTCCGACAATTATTTAAAGACATTTTTATGTTTAACATTCTTTTTATTGATACAAGTATTTAAGTTAATGCTCTGTTTATAATAAACAGTATTAAATAACATTTACCGGACATACAGGCCAGTAAATGTTATTTAATACTGTTTATTATAAACAGAGCATTTACTTAAATACTTGTATCAATAAAAAGAATGTCAAACATAAAAATGTCTTTAAATATATATGTGTATATATATATATATACATACATACATATATATACACACGCACACACACACAAGTTTCATTAGAAACAACTGACAAGGTACTGTGGTTAAGTTTTTTTATTTAATCTTTCTTAATATACAATACATAGAAATTGTTTGAGGTTCAAGCTCTTTTGGCTATACTTTACGCCATTACAAAGGTGGTTTTTTGTTTTACTTTTAACTGAATGCATGAATTGTTTTATGTATCTAGTGTTATAGGAGTGTTTTATTTTCCAAGCTGGAATGACGGAAACAACAACGATAAGGATATTAGTCCAACTATAAAATAAATAAAGAAAAAGTTAATAATGGTAAAATTTGTGTAGAAATATAGATTATCCTAGTCTGATTTAGTTGCAACCAATGTTATTTTGAGAGTAGTTTTTGACAGATTTGCTTTCTACACTTTATCAACTTTTTACAGGTTATTTAAAGCCAGGATATATTTTTTGGTTTGTAAGAATTTTCTTTTTTTTGAAGATTATAATGGTTTAGTGATACAAGCCTTGCTAATTAACCCATAGCTAGAGGAGAAGAGATGGATTCATAACTTTCCCATGGCCATTTGTGCGTAAGTGAATATAATGAACTCAACTGCAGTTGAACCTCATCTGATTAACAATTCTAAACCATTATTCATTACACCACCCATACATCCAAGCTTAGAGCATCTGGTATTACCAAGCAATCCCCTATCTAGATACTGACCAGGCTTAATGTTGCTTAACTTTGGTAATCATATGGAAACCAGTGGTTTAATGTGATGCGGCCGTAAGCCTAGTTTGAAGAATGTTGAAGTAAATAAACTAATGGTGACAATAACATTGATATTTCTTTTTTAATCATTTCACCCCAAGCAAGGCAATAAAGCCACTAAGATGCAGGGTTTAATGAGTATGAAGGAATACAAGAAAAATATAAACATTATTAAGGAACAAGGAGAATAAAAGAACAGGTATTATGAAAATAGATTTGACTGATAAAAATGATTAGTTTACTAAACTGAAAGAAGAGAAAATATTAGGAAAAAATTTGCATTTTTTTTTTTTTACTAATGTTCATGCACTGCAAATTCTAAGAGCCACTCAAGGTAGAAGGTTACTGAATGATATGGTATTGGCTTAAGAGGAAGAGGTAAGAATTGCAGTTTTTGAGGATATGTACGAAAGATAATAGTTAATCTGAGTAAAAAAAAACATGTATTTGGTCATGCAAAGAAAACAGTATAAGCACAAATCAGACACTGTTTCAAAGAATAGAAAAAGAAAACTATGAAATGTTTAAGTTCAAACAAATCAATTCTGTATTAAAAGATGAAAACATTTTGTCATTGGTAAGTGAGGACTGAACAGGGCCTAACCATCTTAAACAAAACCCATGTTAACCACAGACTAAGGAATTTTTTAATCAATTCACCCCAAGCAAGGTGATAACACCACTAAGACACAAGGGACTACAGGAAGTGAAAGAAAAGGAAAAGAGTTTAGAAGGAAACTGAAACCCATTAATAGTATAAAATTCATTGTTTTAGGAGACGTTAGGAGTACAGAGTTGAAATAGACTTTCAAAGGAACAGGAAACCCAATCCTAAACAGAAAACAAGGGATAGACTTCTACTCCTGTTCAAAAGATTGGGGAGGAGGGTGAACTGGATGAGAAGCGAACTTATCTACAGCTGTAAATATTGGGATCAAGAACTGTTCCCATACAATTTTTTTTTTAAGTTGGTGGGAGTCTGCATAAAAAAATTAATAACAGGAGGTGCTAACCAAAAGTTTATGGAAGTTGTATAATATATCAGCATTCACCTGATATTTCAAATTTGTCTCAAAAATCAGGCTTACAGTGATATCATGTTGAAACACTGGTTCCTATATGATCACCAAAGTTAAGCAACATCAAGCCTGGTCAGTATCTAGATAGATGACTGCTTTGGGATACCAGATGCTGTGAGCTTGGATTTGTGGGTGGTGTAATGGGTAATGGCTTGGAATTGTTAATTGGAGAGCTGAGTTCCAGTTTAGTTTGTCATATTCATTTAGGCGCAAATACCCTTGGGAAATGTATGTATCCACCCCTTCTCTTCCCCCAACTATGGGTCAGTTAGAAAGACTTGTATCACTAAATCATTATTATTGCAAAAAATTCTTACAATCTAAAATTATTTTCTGTCTTTAAATAACCTGCAATGGGTTGATAAGCCATAAAAAATGAATGAATCAATGAAAATGATCAATTGTTTCAAATCACTACGCCAGGAAATAAAGAACTTTATTTTGTCAAAGTTTTTTCTTTAATTTCTCTGAACTTTTGAATAGTTTCTTAACTCTAAAGAAATTATAATAATAGTAAGCTTTATTGACATTGTTATCTGAATGCAAAATGAGAACTTAAAAAAAAGTGGGGGGGGATAAGCTAAATGAGGAAATGTCCATGAAAGAGAAGAAAAGAAAGAATGTACTTGGTGGTACTGAAAAGTTCTCAACCTGACCCACTTATCAAAATATAACCAAATGACCATTTCTTTTTCAGAAGGTCTTCTTGGCAGGGCTGAGAACTTTTCAGTAGTCTCCTATATAAAGGGAGGTGGGGGGCAAGAAAGTCGTCAGTGCAAAAAGAAAGGAAGGAAATCTCAATATCCCAAGAGAAAGAGAGGAAATTATGATATAAGCATTGAGAATACTTGCTGTCACTTGATCTCCAATAAGAGCCACACATCATTACTGGTTTGAAAACCAATTGAATACAAAAATAATAATGGCAATAATAAAGAAAGAACGGAAATGATCATAATCATAATATATAGGAAGAGAAAAATAAAATCCTTATTATTACTACAAGAAAAGAGGAAATAATAATAGCATTACATATAATACGATAACAATGAAGACGTAATAACACCATCATCAAATTGTAAGAAAATTCATAAACATTACTAGTACTACAGTTCTTCTTCTCCTTATCATCATCATCATCATCATCATCTATCTATCTGTCTATCTATCTATCTATCTCAGTGTGTTCGTATCTATCTGTCTATCTATCTATCTATCTCAGTGTGTTCGTATCTATCTATCTATCTATCTATCTATCTATCTCAGTGTGTTCATATCTATCTATCTATCTCAGTGTGTTCATATCTATCTATCTATCTATCTATCTCAGTGTGTTCATATCTATCTACCTATCTATCTCAGTGTGTTCGTATCTATCTATCTATCTATCTCAGTGTGTTCGTATCTATCTATCTATCTATCTATCTATCTCAGTGTGTTCGTATCTATCTATCTACCTATCTATCTATCTCAGTGTGTTCATATCTATCTATCTATGTATCTATCTATCTATCTCGGTGTGTTCATATCTATCTATCTATCTATCTATCTATCTATCTATCTCAGTGTGTTCATATCTATCTATCTATCTATCTATCTATCTATCTCAGTGTGTTCATATCTATCTATCTATCCAAAATGTAAAAAAAGCAAGTGTGTGGATATTTCCATTTCAGGGCCAGTGGGCAAGCGTACTCCTTGAGAAGAATTGTGAAATATATTCTTGATACTCTGTATTTTGGCCCTGTGCCATACAGAGATAAATTTAATGAATATAAATAATAATAATAATCTTCAAGAAGGAAACGTGAAAAAAATCACAAAAATAATAGTAACAACAATGATTAATAAGAAAGAATAAAAAGTTATGATGATGATGATGATGTACAAAACAAGTAAAGGGACAAAATGATGATGATTGTATACAAATTAAGGAAGAAGGAAATGAAGATGATCATTGTATACAAAAAAAGAAAGAAGGAAATAGTGATGATGATGATGATAGTCTGACAGAACAAGAGGAAATGATGATTTTGTACAAGCAAAAAAAAAAAAAATGGATGAGGAGTAAAAAGTTAACAGTACACTTGCCTGACGGTAAATACTGAAAGAGAAAAAAGGTAGATGTTTAGATTGAGTTTTGCAGGTTAACTGGAAGGAAAAATGAAAATAATGAAGTTGATTTTTCTCCATGATAGAGACTGTGAAGTGTGCCACCATTGCATTGAATGTGGTCAGCTAAAGGTGATATTTAATGTTAGCAGAAGAGAGAGAGGCGATAGAAAACACATTTGAGAAGTGAAGAAAAGTGAAATGGAAAATCCAAAAAGTAGAAGAGTCTATCAATAAGAGAACAATATATGCTATTGTGCATTTTCATTCATAAGCTACATGAATATTACCTACCTATCTATCTATCTATCTATCTATCACAGCTTGTTCATATCTATCTTATCCACTCCGTTCATATTTATCTATATATAGAGATATATATCAAAATAAGAGAGAAAGAGAGAGACAAGTATGTAGACACACACACGTGTGTGTGCGTATGCGTGTATCCATATTAATAGTGGCGACACTCTGTTTTGTGTTTCAAGGCAATCTTCAGGCCTGAAGATTGCATTGAGGCATGAAACAAAGTGTCACTACTTCATGTTGACTTCAAGTTTCCACTTTTATATTTATATACACTCTATCTCTAATATTGAGCACTTTTACCCATAAATATAGGATACTATAAAAAAAAAACTATATTTTTATCATATATATATATATATATATATATATATATAAATATACACAAGTGATAATCCGTTGGTATGTAATCCAAGTAAATCCTAATAATATAATAAAAATATTAAAACTGATTCACATAGAGAGCTGAATGTTTTATTCAAAGCATATAAATTATATAATAACAGGAATTAAGATTATTTCAAGTTATAATTGTGGGGTGAAATGATCATAACCTGAAGTAATCTTAATTCCTATTGTATCTAATGTATATATATATATAGAGAGAGAGAGAGACAGACAGACAGACAGTTGTGCATTTGGGCAACAATTCCTCTGTAATACCTGTTTCATTTTAACAAAACTGTAGGTTATTTTTTGATTATATAAATTATATCATATTTTATATATATGTACACACACACTTTATCTTTTTTTATGGCATTGAGCACTCTTTTTTCCAGTGTTTAATCCTAGGCAGAATCTTTTAGTAGATGCATATCCTTATCTCTAGTTTTATATATATATATATATATATATAACGTTGTTATTTTATAGATACAAGTATTTAAGCAAATGCTCTGTTTATGATAAACAGTATTAAATAACATTTACCGTTTGAATGTCCGGAAATTTTCATAGAATATTCGTTCTTTGACAGGATATTTTCTATGAAAATTTCTCGGACATTCAGGCCGGTAAATGTTATTTAATACTGTTTATCATAAACAGAGCATTTGTTTAAATATTTGTATCTATAAAATAACAACGTTAAACATAAAAAAAATGTCTTTAATAAATAAATTGTCGGACCTTTGTCCATTTATATATATATATATATATATATATATATATATATATATATATATATATATATATATATATATATATATATATATATATATATATATATATATAAAATATATATATATATATATATATATATATATATATAAAACTTATATATATATATATATATATATATATATAAAAACTTATATATATATATATATATATATATATATATATATATATTTAGGAAAAAAACTTAAAAATCCATTGTCAATCATAAATTTATTTTGATGAATATAAGTATATTCATAGAAATAAATTTATTACTGATCATGGATTTTTAATTATTCTTATCATTTGCTCTGTATCATACATTGAGCTTTCATATGGACAAAAAATTCCTCTTTGAAATAATCCCTACCAATTACAGTTTGGTATTTTATATATATATATATATATATATATATATATATATATATATAACAAGTTTGATTGAAGCCCAACAAAAGTTATGTTTAATATTTTTTTATTTAATATTTTTTTCCCAGTGTAGACCATTTTTCTGATTTCTTTTGTCTTTCATAGCCATTATCAAAGAGGTTAATTTTTCTGTTGATAGGGTTGTGAATCTATGTGTATGCATAGTCTTTTCTTTAGTTGTTTTTGAGGGCCTGGTTTTCACACATGGGTGTCTTGTTTGCTTTTACAAGTATAATATCTTCACATGTTAATGGTGTTGTATAAGCATTTCCTTTTTCAACTGTTTCATCTTCACTTATGTACATAAAAATATACATAGTTATGAATTAGAAATGTAAAGCGGTATATGAATTAATGTTCATATGTGAATAAATTCTTTTAAGCATCCTTATCCAAAAGGAAAGTGAGAAGAAAGGACTAAGTATAAACTACAAGAAGACAGAATGTATGGCTATCAGCAAAAGGATGATGCCAAAATGTAAATTACAAATCAGGGACACTAAAATCAAATAAGTACAGAAATTTAAATATCTGCAAAGTGTTGTAACAGAGGACGGAAAGTGTGACACTGAGATACAAAGACATATTGGGATGGCAAAAGATGCCTTCCAAAAGCTAAGCGTAGTATTAAGAGACAGAAAAATTTCATTAGAAACAAAGAAAAGAAGCTTGAAGCAACAGAAATGTGGTTTTACAGAAAGATGCTGAGGATACCATGGACCAAATATGTGAGGTTTTGGAGAAAATAGAATTAAAAAGGAAACTTTAATATCAGGAAGAGGCAGTTGAAATTTTTGCAGTACATAATGAGGGAGGAGGGCTTGGAAAACCTGATACTCACAGGACAGAGTGAGAAAAAGAAGGACAGAGGAAGCCACATGCAACATACTTGATGAGCTTGAGCAAATGGATAGTAGAATATGTTTTGGGAGAAATAACAAAAAGACAAAACTTATTAAGAGTTACAAGGGGCAGGAAGATGTGGAGGGCCATGGTCGCCTGCATCCTGAAGAGACACAGTGCATAAAAGAAAAAGACTCAAAATATTCTGGTCTAAAATCAAAATGAGGATTTGTTTTCTTTGTAGGTATTCTACTTTTCCTTTGTTACTGAGAAAATTCAATGAATCAAGGAAAATAATCCTTTTAAAGTGTTCAGTGTTTGTGATTTTTTTTTGTTTTTTTAAGTGATTCACCCCAAGCAAGGCGGGAAGCCACTAGCACGCAAGGGTTACAGAGGGTTGTAGCGAGACAAAATGGGAGTGATAGAGGAAAGGATGAAGAGAAGGATATGGGATAGATCAAGGCATCTGAAGATGTCAATTGACATTACATTTGAATAGTTGGAGATTATAGCTATCAGGGAAACAGGAAAAGGGGAGGGAGTTCCACAGGCGAGCGGTGTGAGACATGAAGCTATTGGCATAGAAGAGATGGCTACATTTAACAGTTTCAACAGTGAACGTGTGTGAGTGAGATGCCAGCCTAGTAAAACGCTTAAATTCATGAAGTCTGGGAATCAGCGAAAGCAGCTCATCAGAGCAGTTACCAGGAAAGTATTTGTAAAAAAGACAGAGGGAGGCGACGGCACGTCTGTGAGAGAGCGATTGCAGACGAGATGCCAGATCAGGGCCAATTACATTGCATATCCGTCTCTTATCAAGAACCTTGAGACAAACAGAAGGGGCACCAGACCATATATGGCAGCAATACTCCATGCAAGGGCGAATGGTTGATTTATAGATTTGAAGGATCGACTCTGGCAAGAAAAAAAGAAGGTAAGTTTTCATACGCTTTATTAATTTTTTTTTCTATTTTGTTTTTAAAGAAAAACTAAAGAATTGAAAAATTGGTCAACTGTGTCTCTCTCAGACATAAATTTCTTATTTGACCTTCTTGATGACAGAGATCATTCTATATTTCCCCACCAATGGTGCACATTTGTCTTTCCCCCACCCCTTGAAAGATTTCTGCAGTACAATCTTCCTATCCTTATTTCCCATTGTACTGGACAAATCTAAACTTAGAAGGTATCTTTAGTATTATTATTATTATATTATCATCATTATATTCTGATTTCTGCTATGATCACACTACCTAACAAGTCTGTGGGAAAACCTAAGGCAGGTGGTGGTGTGTTGTTATGGCTACATTTCATGATTTGTTTTTCTAACTCCCATAACATCACTAGCATTACATAGACAAAGTTCTTAGTGTGTGGGCTGTACTTATCAAGACAATTTTCTGTATTTCACTTAAGCTGGTATTTCCAGGGATTTTTTCAATGTGTTGTTGTGTTCCTTTTTAATCATTCCAAGCGCACCTACTATGACTGGTACTATTCTTGTTCTCAATTTCCATATTTTTTCTTTTTATTATTATTACTATGAGCTTGTTTGTTTTATGAGCTGCATCCAAATTCCAACCAGAAACCTCGATAGGCTGCTAGTCGACAGATCATAATTGTTGATACAGTTGGTTGTTTCTTATTACTGTTATTATTTTTAGCATTGTTATTATTAACCGAATCCCAATAGGATGCTTCCCCAATTGCTACAGTCTTAACCTGTTCAAATTTAGAGTTAGCTGTTATGTCCTCCACATATCCCCAGAAACTCTGCCTCTTAGTTTGTAACCTTCCACTCTAGTCAGCCCCTTCAGTCTTGTACAGGGTGAATATTTCTGTAAAAAAAAACTAAAAGAAAAAGCTATAATTGTTCATTTTGATAAGATCTTTTTTCAGTTCAATGTGAAATTATGTATACCACAGCCGACACAATTGGGATCACAGACTAATTGTGAACACTCCACAATTCTTTCATTAGATGCATATAGTATGTGCTTCACCAGGGCTGCATGCAGTTTTTGAATTCAAGATTCTCCTTTTACTAGAATGGCTACAAAGCAAAGCTGAAGAGCAAAGTTTTCTCTATGATTTAACCCATAGCTGGGGAAAGAGAGATGGATTTACATGGATTTATATAGGAATAAAGTGTTGCTGCCAACACCAGAGTTTGATCACCAGAGAGCAAACACAGGTGATCCTTGAATAAATAGATCATGTGATGGTAAAGGAAATGTATATATGGGAATTAGTGTGGCATCTAAGTGATCACTATATGGATTACTATTCAGATCACTATACGGTAGTTACTTTTCGAGTAAGTATTATCAAGCAAGTACTATTAGTGCGAGTGTTATTTGAAGGCATCTGACACCAGTATTGTTCAACGACATTACTGTAGTTGTATCTGCGATTACAAAGTCTTTACTAATATGAGCATTACAAAAGTGACAACGAACACTCATTGCCAATACCTTTCTCAAAGGCATTAATATATGTGAATGAAATTAACTTCTTGGTTGGAATTTAAACTTGACATGTTGATTTCTTATTCCAAGTGTCTATTCATAACATCATCTGCACATCTTCAGTTATGTATAAATGAAGATTAAATACTGCATTTTATTGTTTAT